GAGAGAGAGAGAGAGTTATGCAGTCAAATCCCAGTTCCTATCCTGAAAGAGGCCACATGGGTGGAGAACGTTGACCCTCAAGTCTCTGAATTGTGGTTGGAGTAAAAGAGAAGGAATTACCTTGGCTTGAAAAATTCCATTTTCCTTTTTTTGTTTTTTTAGGGGGAGGGGTTTTTCGTTGGGGGGGGAAGAGACAGCAGTGGAGAACAGATTACCTTGGCATGGAACTTGGGCCTGGGAGGGATAGAATAAAATAGAAGGATTACATCTGACAAAGAAAGCTGTGATTTGAAAGTTAAGGAAAAGAATAACCAAGAATACAGAGGGGGCAGACTGGGATTTTCCGACATCCATTTTCTGCTGTTTGTTCAAGTGGGTTATTTCCCATGAGGCTCTTTCAGGTCACCTATAGGATCGGTTAATTTGATAAGACTATTTACACATCCCATATAACGGTTGGAGTTGATGGGATACAAATATGGACTTAAGGAAGCCAACCAGCATGCTGATGGGAAGGCCAGACCAAGTTGAATCCCTTGCTTACCGCAAAATAAGTAAAACATAACTCATTATAGAAATATGTGCCACTCAAACCTAAGACAGACTTTCTTATGCATAAAAAATCATCAACTGCAACCAAGAAATTAAGAGTGATTTGAGTTTAATCAGGTATCTAAAATGATGGACAGTAAGATTTTCATCTTTTTTTTGGATAAGAGAATATTTTCTAAGGTTTACCTGCTGCTATAATCATAAAATTCTTCCAACTCTGTGTCCTCTTCATCACCTCCCTCTCCATAAGGCAGCTTACAATGACTTTTTGATATCATATGCTTCCTCACTGCTTCCAAACTAAGGAAGGGCTGCCGCCTCTCATCACAATACAAACACATGAAATCTCTAGTCACCTGAAACATTCAAGGCATCATGTTTTTTGTGGTTACTCAACATAAAATAGCTATATTCAAGGCATAAAAACTCAACTACTAGTAATAGTTCAGAAAATATTAATAGACCAAAAGTCTCATGAATACCTTAAGACCAACATATTTAAGGAGGCCCTGAGGATCCTTCAAGTACTCAGCATCAGGGATGTAAAAACCATGGGCCTTATGCATGTGCTCCACACAACTTTCTACGGTTTTATCTGGATTGAGATCACAAATGAAGCAACGAGACGGATCCCAATCCCCAATTTCACCATCTCCAGAATCAGTCACATCGAAACTCTCAAGAGACTGTGTCACCTCCTCAACTTCATTGGGATCAATCTCTTCCCATTCTTCTTCACTTTCTTCAGTCTCTTCATCCATGTCTTGCTCCCCATTAAGAGGACTGGATTTGTTGGACCCACGATCAGGAAGTGGTCTAATAACTGTGATTCCTGAAACTGTAGCATTTGTGGTCTGAGAAGCCTTTGCATGGCTTCGTGATTTGAGATGCTCAGCATGAGCTTTGGAGCTTCTATACTCTTTTCCACAAAGAGCACAACTATATATCATACGCGTTTGATCCAATCTTGTCCTCTCGTCCGCAAGGGCCGATAGTCGAGCTTGAAACAATGCTTCGGTTACTCCTGGTATTCCAGCAACCTGGTAAAACAGAGAGCAATTTCAAGCACAGCCCATGACTACATTGTATAAATTCCATTTTTTGATAACTGTAACTTTAGACTGGGAGTAGCTAGAGCAGTCTGTGAATCTCTTGACGCTATAATCTCTTAGTACATGCAATTTCTTATTAACTGGGATATAACTGAATCCAGTAATCAACACATCTTTTCATGTATGCCTGTTCGAGTCCAATTTCTTCTGAATTTGATTTTCATGACTATCAAAAAACTTTTGGTTTTTGTGGGTGTGAATTTAATTTTATTTCACAACTATACAGAAACATCAAGTATTGCACAAGGATCCACAATCTAGGCTTTGTCTTTTGAGACAATTAGACCATTAATGCATAAGTAAACTACAGAACATGCCATTCAATAGTGGCTAATTGTTTATACTTCAAGATTAACCTCGATCTGAGATGATGACTGCAATAGTTACTCAAAGATGTTTCCCTGTATGCAATAAAACATTCAAAATGGAACATGTTTTCAACACATATAAAGATCATTTAGCATATATAATAAAGTCGCACCTAATTTGCAACAAGAGAAATTGATATAAGCGATTTCATACACTCAACCGGTGTAACGCATTTCCCAATGCATCTTTCCTAGCACAAGCCATGGATTCTACTATTCAAGAAGAAATCACATGATCCTCAATTTCAAACAGACACGGGAAATTCTTGATTATTCACAAAGGGAATAGTATATGGGGAAATGCAATTATCAAAATGATTGCACTTTCTAGATGAATTGGTACATTCATCAAGAAATTCTTCATTTATTTTCACTGCCTTTTAAGTATAATGAATTTTATTGTGCCATGTTATATACCATTCATGAATTTTTGAAGAAAAGTACTTATTTGTATGCCCAATATTTTCATTACAAAAAATCAGAACACAAAAGATCCTTTACATGTATGTCACTAAACTTCGTCAAATTTAAGCCTCATAATATTAAAAAGAGGAACCCAGACGCAGGCATGGGATGATCTAATTTGTTTTTTTTTTTATGTATTTTAATTAAGGGTTGCATTTTTAGTCGCTAATTTTTATTTTCCTATTCTTATTTTGTTAGGGGTAGAGTCAATCATTTACTTTTTAAGTTAATAATGGGTGGGGATGGTTAGGCTTAAATGGAATCGACGGCTAGGATTTCGTAAGAGTTTTTTAGGATTTTTGAGTTACTTAAATTCTTGTATTTAAAGAGAGGAGCTCCCTCTTGGAGAAGATGGTTATCTTGTGAAGAAAGAATTTGTTTTGGGATGGGGTTGGATTCCCTTGCAGACCCAATCCAACCCCTTGCGGACCTGAGAGATGGTATATTCTCTCACCATTTGTTAGTTTTTTATTTTAATTATTTCTTTGCCCCATCTTCCCCACATCAATTGGTGTCAGAGCGGATTACGATGGCTTTAGAGCTGTATCAATTGGAATCAGAGCAGGTTACGATGGCTTGAAAGGAGAGAGATGCATCCCTCGGGCTACGATGGCTTCCAAAAGAGAGGGATGCATCCCTCGAAGGGTTAAAGTTGTTGATTCAAGCAGTTCAAGCCCTAGTGGAGAAAGTAGAAAAACTCATGCCCATAGTTTAGTTGATAGAGCAGTAGAAGAGCCCTAGTGGAGAAAGTAGAAAAATCATGCCCTTGGCTGATAGATTAAAAGATAGCTGATAGATTAGAAGAGCTCAAGCAGGAGGTCGCTCAGTTTCGACGTGAATGGATCTAGAGACTAGCATTGGAGATCAAGGCAACAAGTGACTTGCATCTCATTCCTAACCAACTTCCAATGGCAATGTTTAGTGAAGAGTTCAATGATCTAACCCTTCAATTACTAGAAAAAGAGGAAGATATAACATTCCTGATATCGACCTTCCTCTCCATGTGAAAAATATGTGGAAAATCATATTTCAGGCAAGGCATTGGATTTTGAGTATTTCATTCCTAACCAACTTCCAAAGGAAGAGTCCAATGATCTAACCCTTCAATCACTAGAAAAAGAGATGGAACATAGAATCGCAAACAATATTTGCATTATCATGTGAAAATAGGTGGAAAAACATATTTCTGGCAAGGGATTTTGAGGAGGACAATGTCAATCACAATTTCACAAACCCATAAACGATGAAAGGATGGTTGAATTTAAGATTACCCATAAATGATGATGGTTGAGTTTAAGATGTATACATTTATGCCTCCATCTCCATATTTTGATCCATTTCTTGAGGTAGTTTCTAGTTGTTATTTTTTATTTTGTTCAGGGTCAATCATTTATTTTTATGTTAATAATGGGTGGTTAGGATTAAATGGAAAGGATGGCATTTCATAGGAGCTTTCTAGGGTTTTTGAGTAACTTAAATTCTTGTATTTAAAGAGAGGAGCTCCGTCTTGGAGAAGATGGCTATCTTTTGAAGAAAGAATTTGTGTTGGAGAATTTGTGAAGAGATCTTTAGTGTGGATTCCTTGCAGACCCTGAAAGAGGTACCCTTTGCTATTATTTTTATTTTAAATATTTCTTCCTTCCATCTCTCCTACATCAACCGCATTTGCACTATTAAACCGCAATCTGTTTCATGAAACATATTAACCCCATCTTCCTATCACAAAGAACTCCATTAAACCCAACCATAGAAACCCTAATCCGTTTTATGAAACATATTAACCCATCTTCCTATTACAAACACTTCCATTAAACCCAACCATTACAGTAGAGAGCATACAATATCAGAGGAAATATCAATTCAAGTACCGCTCATCTGGAAAATACATCCATTATGATAAAAAAATTTCAAGGACCACTCATCTTTTGAATAAAAGAAAATACATCCAAAATTATGAGAAATTATGAGATGATCAGAACCGACCTTTCTTTTGAGATTGTAACGGTGCCATTCAGATTTGTAATGGATCTTCTGCTGAGCGTCGTCTTCGAACTCAGTGTTGCAAGCATTGCACGTGAACGCGGGCATGGCTCCCTTAGGCTTAGAGAGAGAGCTGCCTTCCCCTTTGCGTGTTTCTTTGAAAATGCTTCAGAGAGAGAGAAGGGCTTGAACATGCCGCAAAGACTTATATATGGATAACTGTTTGGTCGGTCGAAGCCCGCACCGTTACTATGCGGTCTTGGAGATCTTCACCATCCGCTAAAGAAAGTGTAGATCTACCCTATAAACAATATTTTTTGAAAGAAAAAATAAAAAAACTTTTTAAATATTTTTCAAATAAATTATTTTAATTTTTAAAATTTATTTATTTTTATAAATTAATAATCTATAGTAAAAATATCTTACAAATTAAAATTAAATTCCATTTCGAAAAACAAATTATAAAGAGGTACGTAGAAACTAAGTGGACTTACAGAAACCGTATCCCTTATATATGGAACTAATTTCTACGGGGCCACGTATGCCTATTAATAAATTTATTTTTGAGATAGATTTTTGGACTTAATTTTTAAGGGTACGGAATCTCTAACATAAGGATCATAAATATGAAAAAATAAATAAATTTTAAAAATTAAAAATAACAAATCTAATAAGAAAACATTTGAAAAGTTAGTTTCTATTGTTTTTAAATGGAACATCACTTGCATCCATTTTTAAAATGGATGCTTTAGATTTGTTAGACCGTACATGTAGTCATACGGTCCAGCCCGTGTAAAACAATTTTCCTTTATATGTTTCCCTTCCCATTGTGTTATTGCCGCCCTAGGACCGCACTGACTCTCCCCGTCTCTCTCTTATTCATACAACCATACGCAGGCTGTGACGCACGTGCGTGCGACTGCATTAGACAAAGGCATTTATTTATGATTTATCTTCCAAGTCCTCTTCTCTCTCTGACATCGGATTCAATACGCAGTTACCGAGAAACCGTCGATCTCGGCCACGGTAGGATTCTTGAGGGTGAAATGTATCAAATGATTAGTATTCATTGTTAATGATACTGAGGTGTGTAATTTTTATTTGTAACGAGGATCAATTAAAGGTCTTTTAATCATTTATTTGAAGTTTTTTAGGTGATCAAATTATTAAAATACCCTAAATTGTTTCTTATTCCCATGATATAGAAAGGGCAATTTAAGATTTTTTTTTTTTGAGGGTACTCAAGTGAGATGAGAAAGAAAAAGGAGCCCATCAAATTTTAATAAAAATAATTTGACCATATAATGATTTTGTAAAGGGTTTCAACGCTTTCGCTGATATTTTTCTTTTATTTTTTTAGTTGAACGATGGTTTAGTCATTAGATGTCTAAATCATTTTTTAAAATGAAATAGTGATTCAGATTCTAATATCTCATCATCATCAATTTCTTTTCTCAACTTATTGGGGTAGGCTACACGAATCCGGTTCGTCATTCTGCTTTATTAAGAGTCATACGTTAAGTGAGACTATAAGTCTTCATATCTTTTCTCACTACTTTTAAGAATGTTCTTTTGGACATACTCTTTGTCTTTTTTATCCTTCCACTTGAATTAACTTGCACCTCATAAGTCATAACAAATGTTGTACTAGGCCTGCACAACACATGGCCATCCATTTCGAATTCTATCCCTTATTATATTGTCATTCAATCATCTCAACGCCCTCATATTAGATACACTTATTCTATGGGTATGTTGTTTTTTGACCGCCCAACATTTTGCCCCATAGAAGCAAAACTGGTTTTACAACTGTCATATAGAATTTGTCCTTAAGCTTCACTAGTAAGCAGCGATCACATAAAACTCCAGTTGCGCATCTCCTCTTCTTCACCCACCGTCCTCTAATTCTATGTGCGACATCTTCTTCGATCTTTCCATTTTTCTAGAATATCAATCCAAAATATTGAACGTATGCTCTCTTTGATATTTCTTAACCGTCAATCTTAACTCAGATTTTAATATCTAAACTCAAAAAGTAAAAGACGAGTGTAAGCAATTTGGACAACTAGCGTCCGAATTGCAATACTCATCTTTTTAACCCGAAAGAGCACTTTAGAAATGATATGCTTCAACCGCTACTCTTGTTTTCCAGTCTTGAGTTTAGAACAATATAAACATTGGAACCTTGCCCGAATCGATCTTTCACTCAAAATAAATGGGACTACTGGGAGCATCAATTTCGCTAGGCTTCATAAAAAGAAAAATCGCGTGTCAAAATACCACTGAAAAATGCAGTTCTGAGGCTTGAACCCCTATAATGGTTTCAAAACTTATTTTCAATCGTAGTTATAAAATTTGGTGCTAAAAACAGGTGCATATGTGATTGATCTGTGCACACTTGACAATGGGTGATGTTGATAGCATGTTACAAGACACCATATTTAGGGTTTGAAATTATTATTATTTTCTCAGATCTATAATTGTCAAGCTGAAGATGAACAATTTTTGAAATTTTGTAGCATGGGAATTGTATTTTTCTAGATGGATTTTGAGTAGTATGTTTACTTTTTAATGGTATTAAACAAGGCTGTGGTTAGCATATTGTCGGTTAAAAGTAAAATTTCACATCATAATCCCACCATAAATTATAGTTTTGGTATCGGAAACCATGTGATGGCGTAAATAGGTGTGATTTAAGTAAGGCTTAGGGTTTATGATGAAAATTAAAGCCATCAAAACCCCACCACAAAATGAATTTAAGTTATTGACAACGCTTTTGTGATGGCTTGAAAACTTATTATCAGCCTTGATTATGAAATTTGAAGCTCAAAAAATAACATAGATTTTAAAATGGAGGATCTTGATGATGTGCTATGGCATGCACTATTTTTAATGCCTGAAATCTATTCTGATATTTATCTATAATTGTTGAGGTGGAGGTGGGTTTTAGCTTTTTTTTTTTAAGTGCTGTAACTATGTTTTCTATTTCCATAAGAATTTTAAGACTTACCTATTCTCTAATAAATTCATACTATTGGTACATATTAGAAAAATGAAACCTTTACATGTAGCGCCATTAACACGTGTGACCCATGTCATTACCCATCTAAGTTGAATAGATGGATGGAATGGCTTTAGTCACAATGTCATAAGTTAGTTCTTGAACTTCAGATCTTAATCCAATATCTTATATTATTTTATTTATTTATATTTAATAAATAACTTTGCAATGAAACACATCGAATAGGGATGGAAATGACACAAATAATAAAGCAATATTTCACATGAGAAATAATGACCAACATACTACCGGAACATGAGCTTCCAAAAGCTTTATTGTGAAATGACATCATTATATCATTGGGTGTAAACATTCGAGATAGCAAGTTGAACAATTGAACATATTGATCCTAATCAGGAGAAGTCTCTCCAAATATGCGAGGCATATGCTTTATGCTCTCCCAATCTCTCGGTTCAACTTAAAGTAGTTTTGAAAAATTGCAATCGGGATTGGGATCACCCCGTTTCGAGAGGGGATTGGACCCCACTAAATGAAATCGGAAATGGCCTAGTCCCCCATAGATCCCATGTTT